ATTAATAACCTCGGGCGCTGCAAAACGTTACTTTTTTCTTCCAGCATCGAGAGTACTTACAAAAATTTACTTATTTGAGTGTTTTATTTTTAAATTTCAAATATTCTTACCATTCCTTTTAATTCCGCATTCATTTTAATTTTATAGTGTTTTTATAAAAATATACTTTACTTAATTTTTATGCACATAAACAAGATTTGCAGTTTGTGAAACCAAAACATTTGAAAGATTGCAACAGTGATGCCAATGACTCGCGTAGCCAACATAGGCCAGCATGCATTTTTTGCCTTACTTGCGAGCCACCGAAAAGGCCTAGTGTTGAATATAAATACACGAATACGAATACTTACCACACAAACATTTCATACATAACTTACATGCAGATTAATCTTTTAAAACACAGATTATAGTACAATAAATAATATTAACAATCATATAAATAATGTCTTGTAAATGGCACAGCTCTAACACAATATCTCACCATCTACAAAGTATATTATTATTAATTATTTACATTAATATTTTTTTAATCTTAATTATAATTATTTATTTACTTTATTACTATTTTAAAAAAATTTGTAATTGAATCACTTTATGATCACTTTTTGCTTTATACTTTTTCTAATATTGGGCGCAAAATAATTTTACTACTTTTTTATAATCATTGGCGCGATAATTTTTTTCAAATTTGATGCAGGGCAATCACACTTTTCCATCAGAAATCAAAGCACAGGAGCCAAATTGCGCTCTTTGTTGCATTCATTGCCCATAAAATTTTTCTTAAGAGTGCGGACCTAAAGATGATAAAGTTGTAAATAATCGTGCGTTTTGAGATGGTATTTATGCAATTTCGAAGAGCCTCACATGGATTTAGGTTCAATTGCAGAAATTTAATCATTTTTTGGACTTAAGCTCCTGCATAGCCTTCCTGTAGGATTCGCATTTGGAACTTCTTGAGTAGTGTAGATTACCACCCTTACTGTTTTCCGGACATAGGATGCATTTTGGTTGAGCCGAGCACGATTTTGCTTTATGACAATCTTCTCCGTATCTCATACATGTGCTACATCTATCATTATCGCTTTTGCAATGTCTAGCAGCATGTCCAGATTGAAGACATTTAAAGCACCTCATGGATGTGATATGCTTTCTGATTCTACTGCGCACCCAGCCCACTCTGATTGAGGCAGCTGTGATCAGTAAACTGGCATCCTTAGAAGGGAGATCGATAATCGCTGTTCGTGTATTATCCCTTGCGTAACACCAAAACTTGACGCTGATGTCGCTTACGTTTATTGCTGGATATTGGTCAGCAATCGCTGCGCACACCTCTTCGTTGGACGTTACCTCGTCCAGATCCCTGCATTTTATTAGGGTGCGTTGTGTTAAGGATTTTGCACTAGCATAATCCTGAAGTGTGTTCTTCATTTCAGTGCATAAGTTCTTAGCTAAAGTTCCAGCTTCTTTGGTAAGCTGAATCAATATATCCCCCTTCGTTGTTTTTCGGATTCTGTTCGCATTTTTTCTGAATTCTTGAAGCTCTGGTTTTGATTTAATGAGCTTTAACATATCAGCGTAAGACTTGTCTGCCGTCTTGCTAATAAGAATAGCTTCAGGTCTTACTCTTGGCGCTTTAACGAGGTCCAGTTTTGTCACAGTTTTCCTCTTTTTATTTTCCACTAGTTGCTATTTGTTGCAAGGCGTTCCATGTTCCTTGCTTCCAATTTCCCTAATCTGAACTTTGGGTGGTGGACCGTTCGGTTTCTCATTTGCAGAACGCTTTAGTACTCTCTGAGTTTGCACGCTAATGGAAGTCACACTCTTAGCTGTTACCGGTACTAGTGACCCCCTTTCTTGTTCCGACTTATACATCTTAACTACCTGTGCTAGCAAGTCACGCATATCCTTATGGGTATGTCTTTGAGAGCAACTATCATCGCAGATAGTTGTAATAGCTTATCTTTAACGCTATCATCTGGCTTGGGGGATAAAGGAATATTCTTTCCTTCTCCAATGTTTTTTGAGATGTGTTTTGTTTCCGCATAGGTGATGTTCTTTGCCCACTCATACCTTATTAATACCCTTTTGAATTATTTAGAAAATTAAAAAGAATTAATTACCTGTAAATTTCAAATGTACAAATTCAGAATTTATGTTTAACATTAAAATCTTGCTAGTAAATTTAAAATTTAAAATTTGCTAAGTAAATTTACAATTTGTTAATTAAATTTAAATATTTTGCTAAATTGCTAAATAAGAGTACAATATTACACGATTGCACAAGCTTTTATGTAACAATTGATCTCATTATTTGATCGTTTTAAAACACTTATTCACTTTGTAATATTTCTGTGTTAATAATTTAATTGCTGTCTCTATCAGCTGATTTTATATGTGTGCAATTATTTTGCAGAAAAAAAAGAGCACCAGAACTCACAAAAATTCAATAAAATAAAAAACGATATATGAAAATTCAAAAAATTAAAGAATTTAAAAAGAAATTTATGAAAAAATAACACTTATCGGCTGCAGTTTTTCATCGCTCCAAGTGAGTATATTATATTCCACCGCATTTAAGAACTTTCTATCGTACATAGAGTTCAATTACAGGAATTATATACCGAACCAGCGGACCGCACTCGAAACGCGTGCATTCACGGCAAAAAAGCACCTTTTAAATGTTCTGATATTACGCTTGCACAAATGTGCTCAAATGTGCGATTTTGCGCTTGCACCCCAGGGTGGAAAAAAATTACATGAATTTCACAATTTTGTTTGAAACAGAAAATATTATTTTGTGGCAAATTTTAAAAAAAATTGATATTTACGTTCGTTGGGATTGTAACTTATGTTAAAAATTGCATAAATTAACAAATATTTAAAATAATTATTTTTGTTAAGTATTTATAATGTTAACTAAAAATTATAACTGTCATAACCTTATTTGTATTTTAACTTAAAATATTAGTTGTTTGTATATTACTTCGCAACTTTTGTGCATTTTTAAATGCAAATTTAGTAAGTGAACTTAAAGTATTTGTTTGGTAAGTTTTGCACCAGTTTAAAAGAAATAAAAACATATTTTAGGAAGATTTTTTTATTCACAAAAAATATATATTTACATAGGTAGAGTATCTAATTTTTAATAAAAAACACGAAAGATTAGGAAAATATTTTCTTGAACAGGTAGCAGGATGCTTAGACTTGCTAATGTGAACTTAAAAAACATAAAAAGGAAGTAAAATTTTTAACTCTTTTGGTAGGACACAAAATTTTTAAATTCAAACCAATTAGTTTCCACAGAAATATATGAATGAATCTTAATAATAGATTAGGTAAAATACCTTTAATTGATACTCTTATATAAAAAACAAACAAACTAAGCCTCAGTCGTGTTAATCACTTACACTTTAAAGGACAAAAGTGATGATTAAGTGATAAATAAAATTTTATGAAGTCGTCCAAAATTGATATATTTAATATTTTCAAAGTAAGATCCGTAAAACCGATCCTCTTTACTCATAATATTTCGAAACAAATACTCTTTCTCTATTCAAGTCATGTACGTATTTAACTCATATATCATACTCTATTTATATTTTATATTATAACAAAGTTTTCAAGTACATTGTGAAATCAACTTTATTCCCATGTTTTAAATTAATAAACCTTAAAATAATAAGTAATATAAGCAATAAATGTAAATCTAATAATAAATTCAAAATTAATATATCATTTCTTCAATAAAATATTTCGCCTTAAGACGAAAATTAATGCAAATCAGTCTTCCATACTATTTTGTTGCGTTATTCATCGTAATATTGTACGCTTTTAAATCATCATTCCACACGAATGTGCAGTAGACATTTCGTCTCCACACATTTGGGTGCATTTTTATTTTCGAGTCTGCACAAAAAATGTGCTCCTCGTTTTCTTTTCTGCACACGTTGTGTGCGAGGGCAAGCTGACTGCCTCACACACAATGTGCCATGGCATACTGGACAACAGCTAACGATTGGACATGATGACATGATAATGGAGGAGGCCTACAAGAAAAGGCATCAGGATCGATACCAGTAAGATTCTGATTATGGTATACTGGAGCAAACGTGTGGATATGATGACATGGGCTGGTGGATGAAGTATTCTGTTACCAATATGGGCTAGAGTAAAATCTGGTCCAGACAGATTTCAGGCTAATGCTTTATCTGTCTCCGTCCCGTTAAAACCTAGCAAGCCTTAAAGAACGATCTTGGTTTTGTCCTGTTAAGTTGGGGTGTAGGGGCAGTTAAAAATATCTTCTGCTTAGCTCCCGGTTTGGCTCTGAACACATGCGCTCATAAGGCTATGTGTCAACCCTCGCATGACCTCCCTGCATTGCAAAGATAATCATGGAACCACAATAAGGGTAACTACACTACGAAACTAAGATAACGGCTTTAAGTTGGGTCCCAATTGCAAAGAATATGTCAACCAAAACACCCACACACACTGGCACTACTACTCCAGCCGGCACCGAAAGTGCAAAGGAGTCACTTATAGTGATTGATAGTCCTAGGCAAAACCCCCTCATGAGGGCACCAAGACTGACCCGCTCACCTATGCTATCACATGAGATACAGAGCAACGAGAGATTCCGCTCGTCTTCACCAGAGCTTAATACTGACACTACTCTACAAGAGAGAAAAGAAACATTTAGCAAACTCGGAGATAAAATATCCGAACTCAACGAAATGATGGGTGGAGGAAGAAGGTCCATCCACCAAGCTATGCATGATCTCGTAGCTACAACAACGTCACTCTATAAACAAGTAGCGAGAGAAAATTCAAGCCAAAAAAAAGACATCA